TGCCGCTGAGCTAAATCCCCTGCCCCTAATGTCCTCGTGAGTTCCTGCAGACACTTCTTTTGGAGAGAAGCTGCCACACTACTTTCCTGCATGTTATACTCCCAGCCCCAACTGTTACTGACAATCCCACCCTCGTGGAATCCCAGAACAATCCGACAACTGTGGGGAGTGGCAGGTACTTGACAGACACCTCCCCAATGCCCCCTACTCCTTCAGGTCAAAGGAGAGTGGGAAGCAGGCGTGCGGCGCATCAAGGACAGCTCAAAGCCTTCTCAGGCAGCTCCGTAGCGACAGACCGAAGGCCTACGATTGGGACAGTGTTCTGTTCTTCCCAGTTTGAACCACAGATTTAAAGCAATCCGATCAGACCCCAGCAGGCTGTCAGAGGACGCATGTAAAGTGATTCTAGCGCCTACACTGAGGTGAAAGACCCAGAAGAGCTGATGCGTTTCCAGATGCATCTTGAAGCAAGACTGGTATTTGGTAACAGAACAAACAGATCAATGAAGCAGAGCCTGAAACTTGAGGCTGATCCACATAAATACGCTCACGGGATCAGCAGCAAAGCAGCAAAGTCAGCCCAACAGAGAAAAGATTCTCTTTAATAAATGGCGCAGAAACAAAATCCACACGCACAGAAGTGAGTAGGGCCACAGACCGCCTGCCCTTCCCGTGAATGAACTCACAATGGATCACAGACCTGTGTGTGAAACGCAGAGCTATGAAAGTCCTCAAAGAGCACAGGAGGAAGCCTCCATGACCCCGGGTTTCGTGATGACTGTTCAGATACAACACCAAAGGCTTGATCCAGGCACGGAAGAGCGGATCGGTTGGAGGCCCTTGAGGTTAAACATTTCTGAGCTGGAGTGGTGGCGCAGGCCTGTCTACAATGCAGGGGTTCTGGGAGGGCCAGGGCTGACTGCAGTCCTCCCTGTGGTCCTTGGGGGTGACCAAGTGGGGCTTCAGTGGCTGCCAGCGAACTCTGGAGCAGACAGCGCCAAGCTGGAAACTGAGCCCCACCCCTTCCTGGAATGCGCTTTTGTGTTGGTGACTTGCGGAAATGACCATGTTTGGAACATGCTGGACTCAACGGACGGCACAACTGCAGTTCATGACGTGAGATTCAGTTTCTCTGGACTCTGTGGCAACGCCATGGCCCGTTCGTGTGAAGGTAGAGGGGACATTCGAACCTCTTGAGGACCGGACCATGTCTCAAGGCCACAAGGCTGAGGCAGGGACCAGAGACACAAGTGCTGGCCGCTTGCCCAGACCCTGTCTGTCTGCTCCCGGCCCCCACTTCCTCCTTGCTTAATGAGCCCGCTTCTTGGAACTGCTGATGAGTGGCACTCTAGACCCGGAAGGACGGAAGTCGGGTGTAGACAGAGTCCAGGGCGTGTCTTTCTTTCTTTCTCCCGTGGTGCTGGGGATGGAGTGCACTGAGCTGCACCCCAGCCCAGGCAGGGACTGCTTCGCAGGGAGTGAGCTGAGTCCTTCCAAGGACCCTGAAGGCCTGGACAAACATGAAGCCCCAGACCTTCCAGGGCACAGAGGTCAAGATGCCACGATGCCGCTATGGCACCACTTTGCGTGGCCTGCAGGGCCCTTTCCACGTTCCCATGCCGCCCCCTGAGTTCTTCCTCTGTACAGCTGCTTCTTCCATGCCCAGTTTCCCTGGCAGGCCGTGGGCTTCCTGTGGGCAGGACCGGGATGTTCTGCCCAGCTCTGTAACTTCAGGGGCTGCTGCGATGCCTGACATAGAGAGGCAGCAATGCTTTTCTAGGTCGTCCACCAGAAAAGGGTCCCCCAAAGTCTTTCCTAGGATAGGATGCTCTACGGATTACTTTATTTTTTTTTTTGTCTTTTTGAGACAGGGTCTCGCTATGCAGTTCAGGCTGGCCTTGAGCTCACTTTGTAGCCCAGGCTGGTCTCAAACTCACAACAATCCTCCTGCCTCAGCCTCCCGAGTGCTGGGATTATAGGCGTGTGCCACCACACTCGGCCAGATTACTCTGTCTTGAACAAAAATTACTGCCAGGCACACAGAGCCTGAGGAACTCCAGGAACCTGTGCAAGAGAAGGTGGCATTAACCTGGGCTAATGGGACAAATGTGCTCAGGAAGAAGGCTGAGGATGTTGCTCAAAGTCGTATTCTGCAGTGGCCCCTTCCGTGGTGTCCCGGCAGATGTGGGACAGATGCAGGACAGATGGGGGAGGGAGTGGAGTCCTACAGGGCCAGCCATGCAGCAAGGCCTGAAGGCCGCTTCCCGGAATGCAGCCCCTGCATCCATGGGGATCCACCATGCGCACGTGGGGAGCAGCTCACCAGGCAATGAGCAGGAGAGACCCCAGCCCTGGCCCATGCCTCAACTCAGGCCGGGGCCAGATTCTGAGGTAGGGGACCCTGATAAGCCCTGCTCGGATTCCTGCCCTTGAAACTCAGCTCGAACACATGGGTGTAATTTTAAGTCACCAAAACCCAGAAGGAGAGGGATTGTTCGGGAAAGGTGGGGAAATCTGCTAACGGCCTTGGTGCTGACCTGGATGATGAGTTTGGTTACTCAACAGATTCAATCAAAAAAATAGGTAGCACAGTGCAAGCTGGGCATGGTGGTACACGCCTGTAATCCCAGCTGAAGCAGGAGGATTACTGTGAGTTCAAGGCCGGCCTGAGCTACATAGTGAGACTCTGGAAAGGAAGAAAGAAAGAAAGAAAGAAAGAAAGAAAGAAAGAAAGAAAGAAAGAAAGAAAGAAAGAAAGAAAGAAAGAAGGAAAGAAAGAAAGAAAGA